TTTTTGCATACGTAGGTTTCCTGTAACCAAAATCTTCCAACTGAAACTAGTGAATGGATTTTAACTTGACGATTTTATCCAAATCAACACTTTTCAGCTCGCAAAGTTTTTTTGAACCATCAATATTTTATCAGTGGGCTTCGTTTGAAGTGCGGGAATTTCATTAGTTGCGTTGCAGCCCTCCGTTCACGACACATTTCTTGATAAATTCGCTCTAATTTCCCGAGTTGCATGCAAAGGGGGTTCAATAATGGAGCGAATTAGTTGCAATACATAAGCTGGATTAGCCAGAACTGTTGCTAATGAATGTAGGCGCAATAATTCCCATATTTAATTAGCAGGGGAGGAACTGGCGGAAAAAGCTTTCAAAGTATGGTTTAAAATGCCGAATAACATGAGCAAGAATTAATATCACAAGAATTTCAATTTTAGTGGGGAATTTTGCGCGTTAAAGTTGCCGGCTTAGCGCGTTCCTTACAAATTAGAAACTTGATTTTGTTGAGAAATTCTTTAGTTTTCCCGTGTTGTTAGAGTTCTTTTAATCTTTCGCTTAATTGTCCTGAGCCTTCTTCTATTTGAAATGCATTTGATTCAAAAGGAATTTAGTGAACTAAGGTTTTTCGGTTAGAACGTCTTTTATTGGGGATTTTAACGCAAAATAAACTTTTTTATGCGCTCTGGTAATATGAACTTAATTAACTGTTTAAATTTTATGCATTTTAGGAAGTAACAAGAAATTGACGGTTTGCTTAATTTTTTTAGGTGAACAGGCGCTGTTTTGCGCAAACCATAAGCAAAATCCCTGGAGAGAACATTTGTTTTCCAAATGAAAATACGAATTATTAAAACCTACTTGAACAATTAACAATAATATATCATTTTTCAAACGAAAAACCCCTATTGAGTTTGATTGGATTAGTTTGCGCCGTAATTCCATTTCCATTAGACCGGAATGAATTATCCACAGATGCTTCGAATATAAATGAAAACGGCAAATATTTTACAGTCGCACAAAAACAATAATTTCATTTCGAGTTAATTGATGCAATAAATGCCGTCGAGTGCAATGGTTTCTCTCGCATCAAAATTACCCAAAGTGACCATTAATTGCTAAATAGTTTTTCGTTCATATCAGATGGCCCGTTTTGCCATATAAAAAACGTTGTTGATTAAAGTACAGTAAAGTCCGCTTATAATGAACCCGGTTATAGTGAACTTTCGGTAAAAACAAACTTTTTTCCTTCAATTGAAACGTCGTCCATGTAATTCGGTTAATAATTTTCTTTGTTAATTGAGGAAACTTTCAGTCGCATTTCGATTTTGCGGTTATCTAAGCATGTGGAAGTTTGACAATTTTTTCTTCAGTAATCGGTAAATCTCGAACTTTTTATGTATTTATGTATTCACTAGGACCTGATCTGCTCTATAAATACATTTTCAATTTTTTCAAAAAATTAAAAATTTCCCAAAATGTCTTAAATTTTACGTAATTTTCAGCTCACGGATGCGAAGAATGCATCGAACCGATTAAAAAACATGCTACAAGTTTGAGATGTAATGCACTCTTACCTTGGTCACCCTGTAGAATGCTCTTGTTTTCCAATACAGCGGGTCTCAATTTGAAAACTTTCCACACTAAAATCCTGCCAACGATTTAAGTCGCAAAAATCGTCAACATTTTYTTCACAATCGCAAATTTTCTAGTTTAAAGTCACATTTTCGGGTCCTTCAATCCTTCGACACGCAATTCCAACAAATAAGACACTTTTTCCAAAACRAMCGTGTAAAAATAGATTAATTTAAAACTTCAATTGCAATAAATACRGCTTTACTGACAAAGAATTTCAAAGTTGATGTGTCACATTCAACGTATTCAGAGAGTCGACAAGTGATTGGTCGRTCAGGTTTACGTGGATCCGGAAACACGTCACCAGGGACRGTTGCTAGGCAACGAAGGTTGTTGATTTCTTCTAATCAGTGGCGAAGTACTGATTTTGTGCCGAAAATATTCCTTGTGGAAGAAATTAATTATTGGCGAATGGAGTGAATGGAATGTGAGTAAAATTTTGATTTTTGACCGAGATTTTTCCAAGGGTGAAATTAGAAAGTACATGTAATTGAGAACACTTTTTGTCCATTGTCTTTTGTTTGTTAAACTGGGGGATTTGGAGAAAAATGGCAAAATGCGATCGAATGCATATCAAAAAATAAGATTCACACTCTTTACCATTGATTCCAAGCCTCAAAACTTGAAATCGGTTGCCAGTTTTGTTTTGTTTTGGCCTTAAGCTTATAAATTCAAAACAACTCACGCCACTGGTCCCTGTTTACAACTGTGCAAAACAGTACACAATTTCTTTTAAGCGTAACAGTTTATCAATATCACTATTATCACTTATTATCACCAAAAACACGAGAAATTTCCGTATTTACTTGTCCTACAAATCCTCTTCCCCCTTACTGTAATGCCCCTAACAACCCCATCGCATTGCGGTGTTGTCATGATGAATGCTTTATGATGTTTTCTGGTAATTGCCGCCAAAAATTCTTAGGAATTTTTTAATATAAAATTTCGACGCTGTTATTTCAATGCCATTTGCTTGTCGCTAATTACAAACTAAGCAAATATAACACTAAATATATTCATGGCTACAGTTTTCCTGCTATTTTCTTGTTGATGCTACTCATATATATCGAATTAAATACCGAGCCGGCAACGCAGCTGTCGCAAGTACCTACTTTTATTTATAGACTGCGAAGCGACGTTGCACCAATCGGAAAACGTAAACAAATGCAAGCGTAATTTAGTGTGTTTATTGCGTTCAGCTTTTTAGAGCCTTTTTCCAATCGTTTGTAGCCTGCAAAACTTGCAATTGATTTTTGAGGCTTTTTGTCGAAGCGTGTTGGATAGTGGGACCCGCAAATGAGAGTATTTTTGTCTTTTGACTTCAATGTATATCAAGAAAAATAAAGCCCTTAGGGGTTTTTATTTTTTTAATCTAAAATTGTGCATATTGAGTTTAAACCTGAGACGGACCTTTTTCTTCCAAACTGAAGTAGAATTGCAAAATAATTTTTATTTGCAAGAAACCCTTGGAGTGCACTGTTTTGTATGGAAATTGTTAAATGTTAAATATTGCGCTAACTTTTTGGACAATTCCAAATCAAATTCATTCCTGGGTTTCAGTCATTTATTGTCTCTATTTATCAATCAAAATTCGTTTCGGTGTATTTTTCCACCATCATCAGTTTTTATGTGTAGCGTTGTTGCTGCTTTAAGCCTTGGCATGCATTTTCTTGCTTTCAAACTTGATTTCGTTTTTACTGAATGAGTAAATTAGCTCGCGTCTTCAATTTTTCCCATATAAACTGATGAAACTTCAACTCCAAGTAAGAATAATAACACGTTTGTTTCCAGAAATCACGAATTATACAACAGTGGGCCCGCGATTGGAACAGAAATTCACTTCGGCCAGTTCGAGTCTGCTAAAATCGACTTTGCCAATTTCCACAGTGCGGCCCTGCGTCTTGGATTGTGGTCCAGGGGGCGGCTGTCATGCTGAGACTGATGAGGAACCCAACAAGTGCCTTTGCCCTTTAGGCAGGGGCGGCGATCAATGCGAACGGGGTAAGTTTAGCGAATTTTCCCCAAAAAATTGAAAGCGAGCTTGCTCCAGATAGCAAATCAAATCGCAATCGCCAATCGCTATTCCCTCAATGTCTTCAATTTGCAATTCTTGCCCAACTATTCAGGGGTAGAGAACACGGCGGAAGGTGGCTTATTTGAGTGAAAAATTCAGCTGGAAGCTCAGCTTGCGTGTCTGGAAAGGTCTATGTTTTAACACTGGCATGTCTGGTGAACGTGAAACTACATCAATATTTCATCCAGATTAAAACTATCGGGAACTTTTAAATTGGCCGGGGCACCGGCTTCTAATGCCGTGTTAAATTTGCCGACATTCAGCTGAAAGGTTGCAATATTTTCAGCTTTTTCTGGGGCAAAGACGTCAATAAATTTTCCATGGTTCTGGGAAATCTTGCACGGGGAAGACCAATTGATAGGATTTTTGATATAATTTTTCGTTGCCAAATAAAATAAAATCCATTGCTGGACAATAAATGAAAAAAGTGTGGCACATCAAAAACACAATTCGTGCTTTTTTCCCATTCAAACAGCCCCATTGTTGTGGATCGCACTTCAGCGCCTTTTATCCTATTCACTAAACATGGACCTCAAAATCGCATTTACGCCAAAACTTTAAGGCTGGAGCGAATGAAATTAAAATAAATCGCCAACAACGCCGTATATTGCATAGTTGTATTTGCTTTTCCCTTCTATTTGGGTGCGGCGATAAATTTTTCAGTCCAACTCATTACAACTTCCCCGATTTCAACGTTGTTTCCTCCGCACTAACTTGGCCCCATTGTGTTTCCGGGAAAAACACATCTAGATAACTTTAATTGGATATTTTAATCGTTTTTTCCTGGACGGTTCGTCATGCGGTTGATTGAAATCAACTGTGCTTAAAATCCAGTTTTTCAGTTTCAATGATTCACTTCTTTAGGTTTCTTTGCCTTGAGATCAACTTGAAACTTTCAGCCACGATGTGGGAAGCTGATGAGGTTTTCCGGAAATTAGAAAATTATAAAAATTAGAAATTACCTGAAAATCGGAACGTTAAAACAATGTTCACATTTTTGCAGGGCGCGTCAGATAAGTTGCAGCACCGAAAACCACCTGTTTTTCCTAATRRAACTTCCAATATTTTGCGCGAAAATGTTTTTCGAGGTYGATTTTCATCAAAAAATCMTCAAAATTGCATTCTCGAAAGAATGTAATCAGCTCAGGAAAAACACGCTAAAACTTCTAGAACCGAAACAGTCGATACTTTTCTGTCTGAATAAAACTGGTGAACCTTAAACTTACTTTACTCTATCGTTGGGCCACCCTGTACATGATCTCTTTCGGTTATTGCAACTTCGGTTATTTTTCGTCAATTTTATTCTCAAAATTGTGCCATTCTCTCAACCCTTCTGCAATTGAAATTGAAACGAACAAATTTAACGCAATTTTCAAAGAACATGTCCCGAACAAATCCACTCATTCTCTCTTAACCCAATCAGCTCTCTAAAACAGACTTTGCATTTGGCAAATAGTCGGAACAGTCATGAACAGACAAGATTAGTATCAAGCAAATAATCCGATTTTAGTATGTAGGGTTTCGATGCGGAGGAAACACTGTTTATGAGCCTCATTGTCAGCGGATTAAACCTATCAATTATTCGTTTTATCCGTTCGTACTTAGCAAGTTTTATATTGTGTTACTGTGAAATCGATAGCGAGTTCGGTCGGAAACTTAACCGAAAACCGAAGAGATTTGCATAAAAACACACAAACTTGCTAATTCAAGTGCACTTTTCGGATAATTCCGATTCGTTTGATTGTCGCCGCCAATCAAGATCCGAATCGCTCCATTGCAACAACCGGGCCGAATTTCCATCGGGAAAATTCCATTAAATAAAGCGTCCATTGTTTCAGAGTATTTACGGTAGTTTTGTTCCCGATTATCGCCGACGACTTCATCATATCGCGCCAAGTATCGGCTTAAAAGCGTGCTGACGCTTCACCGTTTCCATTTTCTGGTTTGCCAACTCCATTTGGAGGCTGCAATGGAAATTTTCCGCCGTATTTACGCAGAAAGGGCCTTTTAAAGTCGCGCTTAGGATATGCATGTCTGGCCAATTCAACCGCAGGCATATTTAATGATGTAATATGGATTTTACAAAGAAACCGAGCTTAGAGTGCTTTCGACTCATTTGCGACCAGAACG